AGTGCACTTTGCAACTAACTGCATTTGCTTAACTGTGACTCAAACTTTCATTGCCGCGTGAAAAAATTTGTGGCCTTCCATGCAGAACGCGTCCGTCGAAACTAATTATGAGATTTCGAAGCGTCTTTTCCTGATTTTGGATCTGATTCGATGTTATGTCACGCCTACTAAATTCCACTGAGCCTCTCGTGCTTGTTTTTTTCTAAAACCAAGTCGTGGCATATCGCCTCACTGAGATGGATTTAAAAAATGAATGGCAATGCCTCCATTATTTTCACGAGATTAGTCTTATACTGATTAATCAGCCTCGATGTCCGGCAGCCATGACTGAAAAATCGACTGTTGACAAACCGATTTTCTATTCCAAATACTACAACCGTTGTATTCGGGAGAGTCACTACTCAGAAGGCGCATATGGCTGAGGATTGCTGTTTAAAATTGGTGCGGTTCAAAGAGTGTTTTCACTTCGTGTTTCTGGCAAAGGAAAACAGTAAAATTCACTACGGTATCAAAGATTCAAGCCTCCTGAATATACGCGCTTTTGCCTATAATGAAAATCAACGACACAGCCACTCCACCTAGCCCCTGGAGAACCACTCCGATCTGCTCAAAGTGCGAAATGACGGGATGAATGCCGGATATCATCCCCTAGCGGCCAGCTGCTCTCTGATCGGTAGTTTTCCGTGGTTTCTACGATCAACACCTGGTGACATCCACAGCAGAACTCTAACAAAAGAGCCACGGACCGCGCGCGATCTTTCCTTCCTCTTCCTTGTTCAATCATCACCCCTTATGTACATTACTTACACTAACATGCACTACATTACCACACATGCCAGTCTAGACCAGTCGGATGCTTAGAGCTTGCCTCGACTGAGATTGTGCCCCGCTGGGGGGAGATACCTGGTTGGGAAAACCCCGCTAGCCGACGGTCGATCGGCACCGGATATCGCCTTCCAGCGTGAAGATTTCCGCCTCTTCCCGATCCAAAAACATGCACTACACTTACGGACTAACGATCTTAGCTATAGCCGGAATCATTAATCATCAAGCGAAGGAAATAGGTTTCGGCCCCGCCCCACGCACCGCCGCCCCCGCGTGACTGCCAGGCGCCGTGTTGGTTTTCCGTGGCGGTCATTAGGCGGGTGAGTCTGGCTCTGCGACTTCGGCGCCGCCACCCGCGCGGGCAGGCCTGCAATGCGATGTTCCCACGACGCTTGCACTTCCGCTCCGCGCCACTCGCCCACGGCGTTGGTGGAGCCCGCAGATGTGACGGACGCTTTGATTTCTGGGGAGTGGAGAAATCCAAGGGCGACGGCGATTCGTGTCTAGCTTGAGCTGAGCCGAAAGTGGACGGACTAACAATCATGTCCGAAGTATGCTTGTCGTCCATCACGAGAAAAAAAAATATCGCAGGTCTAAGTGCTTCGAGGGAACTTTTTGATAATAGTTAACAATGTTGACTACTACAATGCGCATAGTACGATTTAACTTCTCTTTCATTTAATGATTTATAAACTAACACAGCAAAAATAGTATTTTTATACATAACTGTGTCTCTTATAAACAATTTTGAAGGGTGAGATTTTTTATTAGGGATATTAGTGGAGGTGAGTGTTGAATTTGGATGAGTTGCCTGTCGTTTTAAGGGAAGAAAAAATTCGAATTAAATGGCTTTAGGAAAAGTGACTGGCAAACGTCTTCACGACAAAAATACATAACTTCCCAACAATTTGTTTGCTGTATCAGTTTTTGCTTGATATCAATAAACAAAAATTGTCAGAGATACAAAAACTAGCTTTTTTTTTCAGAAATATCGTCCAAATTTTTTTTCCTTTTACCGAAGCGGTAATAAATAAAATCAGTTTTTCTGATACATTGCTATTACGGGGGGAAAAAAAAAAATAGGGGCAAAAACTGTATAAGGCTATTGCTGGGCCGTAGATTAAAGTCTTAGCTTTGTGAGGAGAGTAGTTCTGGCAGCAGCCGCCGCGAACGACTGCCGACGCGGCGGTCGCGGCGGCGCCATCAAACGCCGCAGAGAAAGCGCGACGCGGGGGTGTGAATGAGTCGTTTTCCGCCGGCGGCGCGCGACGCCGTCCCGACGCAGGCGCCAGACGCATTTCCGCCCGGCTCGCTGATCCGCCTCCGCCACCCCTACCGACTTCCACCAGCTCCACCACTCAGCCAACCACAACCAATCTAACCGACCGACCGGACCCGCCGACGCGACGCCCGACCCGACGACCCCGACCGACGACCCGCGAACCGCACCGACCCTTCCGCCCGAACGACCCCGACCGACGACCCGACCCGACCGCCCGACCCGACGAACCGACCCGGACGACGACCGACCGACCGACCGACGAACCGACCGCTTGCGCTCTCGCGCCCGCCGCGGCCCGCCCCGACCCTAACCGACCCGAAACTGACCCGCTTTCGCCTATCTCACCGACCGGACCCGACCCGATCGCCGACCCGATCCGACTCCGACCCGACCGACCGACCCCGACCTGATCCGACCGACGAACGACCCGACCCGATCCGACCGCCCGATCGACGCACCCGACGCACGACCGGACCCACTCGACCAACTGACCGTCCGCCTAAACCGCCCGCCCATCAACGGCTCGGAGAAGCAACGCTATTCCAGGGCAAGTGAATACCCACATCACACTCCTCTCCACTCCGTCTCTGATTGGTAGTTTTCCGTGACTTCACGTATCAATTCCATGCGAATGCCGGAGCAGTTACGCAATACGTGGGACGTGGGCCACAGGTAGACACTCTTCTTCTTGTGCTATCCTCTCCCCTTACACACCTACACTTACATGTATTACACCACCACTTATCTCGGGAGCCTATGACCTGTACCGGCTGAGGCAGACATCGTATTTGGCGGAGATCCCATTTTCATTGAACTCTGAATTTTCGAAAATTGCGAAGGTTAAATTTTTTTGAGTCATCTTACAACTTCAAATTTGAAGATTTTTTTTCGTAATAAAATCTGTTCTTCGAAAGAACATGGTTAAATAAGATCATGTAGAATTTTCGAAATGTTTACGCGTAATTTTATGTGAACAACAAATTATTTTTAAAACAAATTTTGCTAACATGTCTTCAAGATTTTGTTTTAATTCTTCTCAAATACAACAAAGTACGCTTTTATTTTCGAAAATTTGCAACAAAAACTCTGCTCATCTACAATAGTGATACAGATGTTTTTTTAAATGAAATATGTTTTGAAAAATTAATATTTAATTTAAATTGTGTACATATTACGAAAAAAGGACAGTTTTTCAGTATATTTTGATAGAAATAATGCTAATTAAAAATTTCAAAAAGGAATCTAAATTGTTTCTTTAACTTTTTTCTCGAATAGGATGTATGCTTATAAAAACTGTGCAGGTCCCATCTTCGTTGAATAAATTGAATTTTCGAAAATTGCGAAGGTAACAGATAATGCGAGAAAGTACGTGCTGTTGTAAAACCCCTAGTTTCGTTATTAAGGGCGTAAGTATTTAGTGAATCCGTGTAGTGCAATTCTGTTGTTGAAGCATCGTTTCTTAGATTCTAGTATCTAATCGCGTATGTGACAGTTCTACTAAGTAATTACTGAAATGTAAATTGAATAGTATTAACAACTGACAACAAAAAAGCGTTGCTTAAAACGTAAATCCATAGCTTTATCAGTGAGACTAATTGCACTGTCGTGTTCTAATCTAATACAACAACACTGATATTGTGTTTCAATGAGTGCAATTACTTTGCATTATATCTGATACGAAATGATTTGCGTGATCCATTGATGTTTGTTTATCTAATACAACTCGCATATTTTATGATAAAGGAAAGTAATACTCTATAGCATATTCTGTGATACAAATTGAACAATGAACGAGCAATTAAATATACATAATTAAATATTTGCAGCCATCGATAAATACTCCTGCAGTTTTGTAATATCGTAGATGTTCCACCACGTTCCGAGTTAAGCTTTTCCGCCAACGGAAAGAAAGGAAATAATTATCTTACTATTTTAAGTCAGATCTACAGATGAACATTTTTTTCTGCTCCAACCAAGCCATTAGTTCGGTATTCTCTTATTTTAAGGTCAAAAACGTGGTAGGCTGAAAGAACGCTACATGGACAGAAAGCTTTATCTACCTATCAATGCTTCGTCCTTAAAATCAAACGCATTCCTTCATAATGCAATAGTCCATTTGTGACCTTGTAACGTGAGTATATTAAACGCAACCTTATAGGTCGTCATTGAACTGATTTTGAAATACTGCCAATTCTAGCGCGCCGCATCAATCCGGACGCTACTGCTGTGCAGCGGCGTTCTCGTGAACCACGGACGTCCGAGGCGCTTTCTCTATAGAAAAGCACCAAATTCGAATACAAGATGAACTTTCGAGCACTGACAATTTAATTAATTTGATTTTGAATTTTTTCAACGATAGGTGTACTGTGGTTAGGTTGTGTTATAAACATATCCTTTGGAGCAAGATGCTCATATATATTTAAGGTAAATATTTCGTGTTTGCAATGGACAATAAATGGGATGATAGCTTCATGAGAAGACCGGGATTTATTTATGATGGTGAGACATGTAGTAGAGAGGAAAGTATAATTTAAACATATTTACAAAATATACTTGGTTAACATTGTACTCTTGCGTTTCAAATAAATGGATTTTGTCTCAGAATAAAAACGTGATTCAATGCTCTTATTTCCAAAAGAAAGTTACTACTTTATAGAAACTAAACAAACCTATTAATGCTATATGATGTTATACGAGTATTACCATTTATACTAGAGCATTACTACTTACTAAGTACTATTTAGAATTGCTAAGCAACATTTATTTGAAAATAATTCAAAAATAAAACTTATCTGGTTTATCTGCAAATTAAAATATTTTACACATTTACATAAATAATAATTAAACATAATCAGAAACTACGTAATATAAAATATGTTTTAATTTAATTTTTTAAAATTATGGCATAAAATAATGTGAATTATTGTAGTAAATCTAGGATCACAGGTTTCATTAAAAAAAAATAAAAACGTCAAACTTGATGCAAAAGGTCTCTTAATTAAATTGCCTATGTCTTGGAGGTAGAACGCTGTACGAGCAAAGTACGGAAGTTGTAAGTCTCCCTTTCACCACAAGATGGCGCAATAATCACGTCGTGAAGAATGCTCAAATCCGTTGAAAGTCTTGAGTTGCGAGTTCAGCCGAGTTCTTCTCTTTTCAGATCTCAAATGAATGGAGAAGCAGCGCTACATTAAAACCTACCTAAACAAATTGTTCGTCAGTCTTTCATAAATTTCACATCTTCCTGTATATCGCTCAGAGTTTAAAATTCGATTCAGATACGCAATTGATCAAAGTTATCAGAATTTACAATATGTACAATTACGAGTATAAAAGAGGTATTACATACAATTAAATTTATTCCATTCGTAAGATGAGTATTGTAAAATCCTTAATATCGACGGTAATGTGAATATCAGCTATTTAGCTTCGCCTTCACTGCTCAAGTAAAGGGGGTACAAAATCATTAACGAGCTTTTGAATCTTGCTGCTCTCCTCACACGTCTGGGAAATCTATCCTCCATATCAGTGGGTCTAAATCAGGCTTCTCTTCAATTGTATCAGTATCTCCTCTGGAAAGTTCGTCGAGTCCAAGAATCAATACTGCAACAGGATCAATAGATCTTAGATTTAGAGTAAATTAATTAGCATATTTATTGATTAGTATGTTAGTATAATTATTTATTTGTCCCGGGCCTCCGAGAACGAAATCATAATAATTCAAAATCACAACTGAAAAGAAAGGCATTTCAAACTTTCGTTATTAAGAGGAGAAAAAATAAGAAAAATGAAGAATACAATACATAAGATACAAATAAAATTGAAATACTGAGATAATTGTTACCTTCCAATTGAATATTCAAAATTAAAAGAACCGTTGCGAGCAATAAAAAGAAATTTTACAAAATAAAGTTCCCAAAATTTCAATCTCATGCAAAAAAGGTTTCAAAAACACCTTACCATGGAGTGGCAGATGTCCACGTTAATTACTTTCTGATATGCATGCACATGCTACTTGTTAATTTTTTGTTTCGTGGTAAGGCAGGAAATACATTCTTGGTTTTCCAGACAATATTTAATTTCTTTGTTGGATATGTGATTTAATCAATGTTTCTGAACACTGTTTTCTAAGAAAATTCCAAGAACTTGTGGCATTATTTTGATAGAATTGTAATGTTTAACTGGAGATGATAGAGAAAATAGCACTGAATTAATCATGACATTGCACTTAATTAATCATAACATTGTTAACAGTGCAACCGAAGACAAGTTCCTAACCCTTTCACTTCGTTACAAATATATCTCTGTTAACCTAAAAATATATTTCTTTTTATTTCTTGATATAAATCACTCACAAAAATTGAACGTGTTGCATATACATTAAATGGGAAATATTTCGTGTTATATATGACTCTATTTTCGTAAATGTTTTTTTTTCAAGCTTTCGGTGGGATTCAAGGGTTAAACCTTCATTAAAAAACTAAAAAAAACAAGGAGTGCACTGGGAGAGCATTGTAAAGTTAAGGTCATCAATATTGTAAGCTTAGATACCCTTACAGACAACTGTTCAACTGTCATTTCAACTCCATCTATTTTCTAATTCTGAAAAAGTTTAAATAGATCCGCAGAATGAACATAAGATATAAAATGACATTTACAAAAATATTTGGCATGTTCTCAAAACTTTCACGAATGAGCGTTCGCTGCGCAAGAGTGTCTTTGTTTCTCTGGCTCTGGCCTTTGCACTATGGACTACATTGAACACTACTACGTACTGTTGTTGCTACGCAGTTGAAGTAAATGCACGATGATATTTATTATTTTGGGTTATGTCCAGTGTGCCTGAATATACCATAATTAGGATCTGTCATTGATTTCACCTTCTTTACTTTTCATAATTTGTAAAAGATTTTAAATTTCTCTGGTTCGATTACTTAACCCTAGAATCCGGCCAGTCTCGATAAGTGCTATTTCTTGCATGTTCAATGATAGATTTGTCCAGTTCGTATTTATATTTCTGCAGTGACAGGAGGAAAGGGTGTAGGAATATCGTGGTGTTTAAAAAAAAATCAAAAACACGTTCATTTTTTCAGACATTTTTTGAATAATTTTTTTCAATAAATCTCCTGGGCTTCCTAAAATAATATTGGAATTGTTTTAGAAATCTTTGGTTTTCTGGCAAAGTCCATTGAGTCTGATAATAAAATGAAATAATTATGTTATATTCGTTCGGTATTCGGTTGTCAATTATTATGATTATTGCTTGTTCTGCAAGAAAGTATTCCACACATCGAAATGATATTATCTCGTGGGACGTGAGGAACGCTGTATCCAAACAATCAGGAACCGACCTTTCGCCTTCCACGAGTCGAGACGCTGGTCAGTGTCAACAGCAAACTGAGCGTCTCACGGTCGTAAGTTATGTAACCGTCGCCCACATATTGCAACTAAAAGCCCCTGCACAAGAGTTGTTTCTCAATTGAAACAAGGTACAAGCTGCACATTTGCTTGCGTTTTTCTTGTGTTTATCTGTTGAAGTTGTTATTTTTAAAGCAGAAAAAATATTTTCTTTGATAACTTTTGGAGCTAGTATAACATTATTAATTTAGTTAGATGGAAAATTTCCTTAAATTCATAGTCAAATTTTTCTCCGTCGAACATGTTTACAAGTTTGTGAGAAATTATCATTAAATGTTTCAGTTCTATTAAAAACTATCCATCCATTTTTTGTCTCAGTGATTCAAAAACATTTGTACATAATTTTGCAAGAGAATCCTAAAAAAAATTAATCGTTTCACGATCCTAAGCAAAAATGTTTAGGCACGATTAAATTCTCTTTAATGTAAGTGAACCACATATTTTTTTGCAGCTAAATTACGATATATTAATGTTTCTTTGCAGGGACCAAAAGGACTAGCAAACCCCGTGGAAGCACTCAAGTATTAGGACGCACACAATAATAACGCATCGTTACACTCACAAGTTATTACTGTAACCTAATTGCGCGTTTCGCCCCTCGCAAAAGGATACGACATGAAGCGGTCGGATGGGTTACTATGAGAAACCACGAGCTCAATTCGATGCGCTAATATTGGAGAATTCTTTGCGAAATCCTTGACTATGTCTCAGCTGTTTTTTACTAACACTTCTTTCACTAACAGTAAAGTTTAGTCTAAGATATTGAAAACGCAATATTTTTATAATTTTGTATAGTCATGCATTGCCTCATCTATCGATGCCCAGATGTCTCGCCTCTGAACCATGCTGTAAATTGGAAGGAACATATTTACAACGGTGGACGAAACATTTCCCGTTTAAATTGGTTTCAAAACGTTAAATTTCTGAGAGTTATTTATGGCAAAGAATATAAAGAAATTGTGTCAGGTGGACAGAGGAATGTTGGTGAGGAAGCAAGAGTATGACAGAAAATTGTCATCGTTTGACCGTTGACATTGTTACCGTCTTCTGAATAATACAAATATTTTTTTCTTAATCCTACGGCATTAACATTCACACTCTAAAAAAGTTTGTACAGAAGTTTTTATAATTTCATTACGGATAATCAATGTATATTGAAACCGAAAATACTCATTAGAGTTTACAAAAACAATTAAGTTTTATTTAGAAAACAAAGAATAATCTTTCTTTACCATGGTGGAGTGACATGTGAACTCCGCTTGTACCCTAAAACTAAATCATTTACTTACCACGAAAATTAGAGAAAATTTTCGTATTTTTTCTGCTGATGTCAATGCATCCCTGCTTAATTCATAATTAACGATCTTATATCAATGCTATTTCGATGCCCTGTGGGTCAGCGGCGGACCCCTGAATAAATTGTGAAATAATTGAATGAACGTGTATATATTTTAGAACTAATGCTAAATGAAATCAACAATTTATTGCTAAGGTTTTTGCTGTTAGTGTTACAAAATTTTTTGTATATAATTTCACATGCACTGCAGGTTTTTCTGTACTATCCTTTTGGCGAGGAATCGTCCGTTTTGTAGATTTAATACATTTACTACGTTTTTTGGAATGTGCAATTATCCTCTGCTTTGACAGATCTTTGTCAGGTACTGAATTAAGGTTGTAATACTTTCACGAGCAGACCAGGATGTAAGAGAACGCAGGAGTTTCCGGGAAGCGCTTACGCATGACATAACTTCACCCTTTTCAACTTTTGTTTTAGCAAATATTTTTGCTTAAACCTTCCTTCGACTTTGTGAACGTCGATGCAGGTTCTCGTATTTGGTAATAAATTTCGTAAATAAATATGTAAACAAAAAATCCTTGTCCGGAATATAATTTAATAAACTACGGACTATTCAAATGTACCCTTGTGAACGAAGCATTGAAAAATATTGCAGCATACTCCCTCCATTTCACAGGGATAAGTAATGAAAGGAAATCAAGGTAAACAAATGGTCGGTACTTTCAGAATTTAATACTGTACTGAAATTTATTGAACTGGAAAATTATCATTTGAATTTGTACTCTTCAGACGGTGACTTTGTCACTGGCTGTCTCAAACATTTAAGCTAGATTGATACTACGAATAATCATAAATTAGGTTTAAAATTTGGTGGTATTTTTTCTGCTTACAGCAGACGACGTTTATAGCAATGGCGTTGTAAAACAATCATGCATTGCTTCTTCCGATATTACCAATATTTTCGTACAGCCTCCCTCCAAGAACCTGATCCTGAAAGGAAAAGTACTTTATGATGTAAAGTGAAAACACGACGACTCCATACTTATGTTTGATTGTTATAAGTAAGAAATATTAGTCGACAGAAAAACAAGGTGTCATGAAAAAATAATATTTATGTCCATCCTAAGGGGCAGTTATTCACTGCTCATTAACTGCATCTCCGAAGTTACAAGTGTCATGTGAACATTTTATTGAAATTGTGTCTTTTTTCAGTAATTAAATACATTTTTTGCTGAAGCGATGATTGATAAAAGTATATATTACTGAAAATATTTTAGCATCATTGTAGCATTTTCGTAATAATTTTAGAGATACATTCTTATTTTTTTCGGAATAACTTTATTCATGTGTTCAAAATATTGACTGTGAGGGGTAGGCTTCAAACACTTCCTGTGATGAAACTGAATCCTGCATATGAGGCATCACACTAACAATAATTAAACCTAATTTTCTAATGAAAAAATGTGTTAAAAAATTATGTAAAAGTGTTGACATAAATACATTTCTATGTCCAATAATAGGTAAGCCGGAACAGTTCATGTTTAAAATTTATATTAAGAACTTCCAGAGAACAATTTAACGTTCACGGCATCTCACACTCTAACTTTCTCTCTTCTATCTCCCTATAACATACTTAGGAGTTTTCCAAGCTTGTTTTTGATAGGGATATTCTCGTATATGTATATTGATAATATAATGTATTTTTATTTATTCGGTTGCATACGCCTTTGCCGATCGAAATATCGAATTCATTTTTATTTCTCTTTTGAATTATGATAACACTGAAAACCAGACATTTGTAAAACTTATGGAAAACAAATGAAAATATATAATTTTCCACACTTTAATATGATTTTCATTCTTGTAATTAGTGAAGCCAATATCTTTATCGCAAGTTATTAATACGATTTTTATTTCTGGCAATAGGATTTTCATTTCTGGCAGTTTCTGGCAAACTTGTCTAGGGACTCTTCTGACATCGCAGTCTCAAGTATTCTTTGTCTACGTATTCGTGTATTGCAAATACAAAACATTTAATTAATGTCTTGAATGTAGGTTAAATAAATTTAAAAAAATGAAAATGTCGCAGAGAAAATGAGGTGCCTAAAGCATCCAAACTTCATCTAGGTTTATATTTCCACAATAAAACGCAGTCTCTTCAATATCCATGCTCTAATATCGCGAAGTTCTAATATGAGAAATAACACTACGAACCACTAATAAGAGAACAATTCATTAGCAGATTTGAGATTTGAATAATTGTTGAAATATACCAAAAATAACCGAATAAATGAATTTCCTCAATAGGAGATGAGCTAATAAAATTTCACCACCGCAGGAAGCCTTTGATCGCCTTCGGTAGCATTTCATTGTAATAGAGTTTGAATAATCGCGCGCGCGCGCGCGCGCGCGTGCGTGCGTGTGTGTATGTGTGTATGTGTGTATTGCTTTTTCTTGGCAAAGAATAATGATAGTAAAGTGTTTCATAAAGATATATATCTTCTTAGCTCTTTATAAACCTTTTAACTACATTTATTATTTTAAAAGAAAAAAAACAGCACAACATAAGTATGTTATCCAAATGATTCCCTCCTATTTTACCTACCCCTATTTTAAAACGTATTTTATCTATAATCAGAGTATTTAAAATCTTATAACATCATTTGTCAAATTTCTAGTTAATTTTCTAAGCAATTTCTTCATCCATGAAATATATTCGTATTTTGTGGTTGTTTAGTAAGAATAAATAAATCCTTAGATGCATTTAGATAAATCGCACTTTAGTCTATCTTATTGTTTTGCGATTTATTAAAACTAGAAAAAATAATCATCTATAAACTATTTCTTCACCTGAGTATCCCTCCTATGCACATACTCATGCATTATATACTTGCCAACTTACAAGCTCAGTTCTGAAAAATGCATTGTTAGAGGTGTCAAAGTTTTGCATCATATTTCATGACGTGCATATATATATGAAATTTTAGATTTACCAAAAATTGTAAAACATTCCAGATGGCCCAACATTCGTGCAGGTGGAAAAATATCAAATCTTCCAAGAGAAAGTAGAACAGAAGGACATACAACATTGCATTAGTATTGCAGAAGTTATTTCTCTCTTGCAGTTAATTTTACTGCAAAACACTGTAATGTTATACATGCACATAGCATTTGTGAGCAAACAATGTTTTATAGGATAATGGGAATTATCTGAATTAAATTTAATTACACCAGTATGAAGGGAAAATTTATGTGTGGTATTTCAGTGGTGTGGTGTTTTGGATAACAGTGCTTCATTGATCTTGGATGGATTTACTTATAAAATAATAAAATAGAAAAGTTTTATATATTTGTTTTATCATATGTTAGTATGTGGAATTTTCATATGTGAGAATTTCATTAACATACACAAATGAACATTTACAGTTTTTAATGTTTTTAGGGTAAATCATTCATCTTGGTTAAGTATGTGTATGCCTGTGTTCAGCAAAATGGGTATATTATCAAAGATAAAACAATATGATAATATATTCGGTTGCATGCTGACAAAACTAATTACTACTTGCAGAATGAAAGACAGACATAGAAGAAAATGTGCCTCATACTTAAAAGTAAAGTCAGGCACCCATATACAATATAATATCCAGGATAAATTCCTGAATACCTATAACAAAATATAATACAATAAAAACATAACAAATACATTTCAAGAAACAACATAATCATACATTTTCATCTACTTCTAAACTACTTCAATAAAACTAATGAAGGGAATTCAATCTGCATATGCATATATCAACACTTAATTTTTTTAATCAATGAAATTTGGGACACTTAAATTGACAATTAGAAACTAATAATTTTGCCTCTTTGAAGACCATTGAGGCCATTATAAAAAAAGGTGTCACTGCTCCAATAAATGTTACCCGTAATTGTAAAAAATAAAGATTACGTGAGACTTTGAAAGAAACCCCATCAGTTAAAGCGTTTCCGGTTTTGATCGGAGTTGCAGATTAATATATATTCGTATTTTCCTCATGGTAGATGTACGAAATGTAGTTTATAGAACTATTCTACCGCAATCTATGATGATTTTGCAGCCATTTAAATGTTTGTATGATTACTAATTGTTTTTAGAATGTTCTTTTGTGATGCACGCAAGTCTAAACTCTATATATAATATTTTTCAATTTCTGTTACAAAATTGAGAATGAACATATCATTGTTTTGCCCAACTTCTCATTACAATTATAATAATTGTTACTTAATAAATATTTAAATGCCATGTACGACGTTAGAAACCTTTTTGAAAGGTTTGATGCGAGATATCTTGTACTTCGTACACAATAAGTACACCATTTTCTCAGCGTCAAAATGTCATCACAGGAACAAAGACTAAATGTTCATCACTAAAGATGATCTAATTTCTTTGTGAACCAAAGTATATCAATATATTACACAATATCAGTAAACTAAAAATACCCCAAGCGGTATTCAACAACAAAAGACAACGTTTATTTCCAAATCAGAATTATACGCTGTAACAGTTTCGTGTAACAAAACTAGCTTAAGACTGGCACTGGTTCAGGAAAAATCAGCGAGAATCGTGAACAATTTCTCGCATACTCACTATATATATTACGTTCGGCGTGCAGACAGGACGTATACCACCAAAATAAAAAGGTGTACCTTGAAAACAAGTTCTCGGAATCCAAAAACTGTCTTATTCGGTATTAGAAAATAATATTTTTCTACTCGCGTTTCAATAAGGGAACGTTCTTAAGCTAAAGCGCTTAAAGCGCATATTTGTGTGCTTTCGTATTTTCGATCTAGAGAGTACTACATTTTTACTGGTGCGAAAGTACGAAAAGGAAGTTAGAATTAACTTTTTTTTGAATTCCACTCCCACGAAAAGGACATCGAATTGAAAGCGGGGACGAAATAAACCTGTTAGCAACCTGAGAAATAAAGGATCGCGATGTCACGTGAACAAAGAGATGAGGGCACTTGGGTATGAGAGGATTAGGAGACACTGACATGGTCCAATTCTTGTTCGCGTTGAGGTAACAAGAAATAACTCTCCAAAATTGCTCTTCGCATGTTCTGTGCAATGAACCTTTCCACAAACCCGTCTAGCACCAATAAATGGCCAAGACGTTATGCTCCGATTTTAAACACAGTGTCACTTCAAAGCCATGAGCTGGATGGAGAGAGGGACACAGTCATTCAATCGGGATCTTCGAATTCTTAAATTTTTGATATTGGAGCTCCCGATTTAATGACACGCCCCCATCTCCGTCCAGCTTATGACCTTGACGTGGCAGTGTGTTTAAATCGGAGTACAGTAAGTGCACGTGCTTGGGCGAGAGAGCGTCGAGGCGAGAACAAAGTGCAATGAACCTTCCACAAACCCGTCTCGCACCAGTAAATGGCCACGAGGTTATACTCTGATTTTAAACACAGTGTCACTTCAAAGCCACGAAATGGATGAAGAGACGGTCATTCAATCGGGATCTTTGACGGCTTAAAATTGGAGCTCCCGATTTAGTGACACGCTCCCATCTCCTTCCAGCTTGTGACCTTGACATGGCAGTGTGTTCAAATCAGAGTACAGTAAGGGCTTGTGCTTGGCCGGGAGAGTGGTCGCGGCGAAGGCAAGACCAAGGACAAGGGGGAGGGGGGTTGTTGAGGACGCTAGGGGCTGACGGTGAGGACTTGCTCGGTCGTACCGGGGCGGTGGCCCTGGCCGTAGGACGGGCGCTGGGGCGCCTCGACGCCGCCGCGCCGCTGGTCGCACTTGGTGCCCTTGACGAGCAGGCGCACGGGCGCGCGCAGCACGCGGAAGTTGAAGTCCGTGGGGTCGAGCCCCGACCCCATCAGCCGCTGGAAGCGCGACGTCAGCAGCCACACCTCGGGCGCGCCGTCGCGCCCCGTCACCACCTGCGCACACAGCCACGCGTTGGAGGTCACGGATCAGGGAGTTAGTGCATGCCATAATGGCAGCTCTATCGATCTTTTGCGCATGCGCAGATGCACTAAAGTGGTCTTGCACTAAAGCTTGGGAATTAGGGAGTTTGTGCACGCCAAAGCGTCAGAACTCTCGATCTGCGCATGCGCAGATGCACTAAAGCGGTCTTGCACTAAATCTTGGGAATTAGGGAGTTTGTGCACGTCGAAGCGTCAGCACCGTCGATCTTCTGAGCATGCGCAGATGCACTAAAGCGGTCTTGCACTAAAGCTTGGGAATTAGGGAGTTTGTGCATGTGTCAGCACTATCCATCTTCTGTGCAGATGCACCAAGTGGTGCGAAACGTGATCTGCGCATGCGCAGAAGATCGCGTGTGTTTTAACATCCGAGGTGGCACAAACTTCCTATTATTCATTGTACAGTACCGGCAGCATATAAGCGACTTTAACAGTTCGATGCGCTGCTATCACACGTTACTACGAACATGGTACCACGTACAAGACGGAAAAATGTAATCATTACACATTAACACTACCGACAGGCACGATGACACGTCTTGATATCATGTTCGTAATCTTTTCACAATATAACCTTATCGCCTCCGGACATCGAGTCAAATGAACCGCCAAAGCTCCCCTTGCTGTGGAAAGAAAACACCACGCTGAGTCACCTTGCTTTCGAGGTCAGCATGAATTGAATTGAATTGCCTTAATGCCTTATTTTACGTGGGGAGACTCAGCCATTGAGCCTGCTCTTCCGTCTACACGGCAAATTTCGCTACGCTCCTTTCACGAACTAGCAGAGAAAGAAGGTATTTCTTGGGCGAGAAACATGCGGTTTCAATTTAGCTCATTTAGGCTTGAAGATCATTTACATGCAAGTAAATCTACTAACATGGGACAGCCGACTTTACTTCCCGTCCTAAGGAAGGCGTACGCAGGATTTTTTCGCCCTTAAAAATCCACGGCTTCGATCGGGTTTGAACACGCCAACTTGGGTACAACAGTCCGGTACGCTAACCGTTACTCCAACGCCGCCGCAACGTGGCGTACCAAGCGACAAGTACTCTCAGTCGCTTATACTCTGTCGGTACTGTAGGAGCGTGAACGACGTAGGCAATCCCTCCCGTACGTTAATACATGATTAGAATCAGTTGTATCCACTCCCTGCTAGAACGTGAAATCCAGCGCCGACGTACACGTCGGCTTGCGTGTTTCCCATCTCCAGTTGTCTGTCCCAGCAGAGCACCGTCCCACCCGCCTCAAGCACGAAGTTCCCCATAGGTGTCTCGGCATGTAAGATATTGTGTTTGTTTGTTTGTTTGTTTGTTTGTTAGGCTGTGTTTGACTGAATAGGGGACAATGATAAAGGAAAAATTGCACTCGGTCCGTGGCTCGCTTGTTAGGGTACTGATCCTGCGTTCGCCTTGTGTAGCTAAGGGAAAGAACACGGAAATCTACCAATCACGGTAGTTGACCGCTAGAATTCTCCTCCAGACAGCGGTCGAATTCGATCCCGGTAGAGCTAGGTTCTAAACTCTTCTAGGTTTTTTGGATGATGAACATACTTTAATACTATCTGTAACCGACATAAAAAAGCACACTTCTCATAAACTGCGAAAATGTTTACAAACATTTGAAAAGAAAATTTCCACTACAGATATTTAATTATATTCCAAGGTGTATTTGAAGTCTCGCTGCTAATGTGCATCAGGAATATTAAGCGATATCTCCACGACAATTAACATACCTGTACTTTCACAATCAAGTTCCGTTAAATGCACTTCAGAAGCAAATTGAATAATAACCTATATTTATAATGCAATTATAATTTATGTTGTTAAGCTTAGAGTAATGAAAAAGTTATGATTTAGTAATAACGCGAAAGCTACTTTAAAGATTGTTTCTGATCCATAAATAAGAATATAATTGCAGTGTGTTAGAGGCGCAAAAAGAAGCATAAATAGTTCTGCGGTATTCTAACGGTATTGTGAATATTCATGTGCATTACATAAATGGCTTATGATGAGTTTCAATCCCTTCCGGCAATACGAAAGAAAAGTGGTATTAGATAGAGGCGTCTAGAGTGGAGGACAAGTGAAGTAACACGCTCGAGGCCCCGACTTAATAAGGACCCGAACATTTTTTCAATAAAATGTAAAGAATTTCTTTAGTCTTGTACCTTTAAATCAAATTAACCGCCTTAAGTTATTTCAGCTGTATGTATAAAGTAATTCTATTTGAAGATGAGGAGGCTGCGGAACTTTTGTTTTAAATAAGTCCCCCCCCGTGGATTTACTGCCTTAGACTTTGTTTTTTCTTGGCTCTTGCCCTTGGTGTTAGAAAGTAAGTGAGAGACAGTAGATTCGCAATCGAGAAAGAGGCAGGCAGAGCAGAGGTGTAAACGAAGGAGACAGTTGGAGCTTAAATAGAGAGAGATAAAAGAAGAAGAGGAGAGAGAGAGAGAGGAGGACGAATAGATAACGGAGAAGAGGACGTAACAGTAACGAGAGAGGACGAAGGGGGAGACAGATAAGACGGAGAGAGGACGAGCAAGATAACGAGAGAGGAGAGACAGATGACGAAGAGAGCAGATAGACGAGAGACGGGAGAGACTGATGACGGAAGAGGGACGGAGACAGATAGACGGAGAAGAGGACGGAGACAATACGCGGAGAGAGGGACGGAGACAGATAGACGAGAGAGGGACGGAGACAGATAGACAGAGAGGACGGGGACAGACAGAATAACGCGAAGAGAAAGCATTAAACAAATGGTGAAAGCACATGCGAGCGTAAACGAGAGAGAGTCAGAAGTGGCAAGATGCGAAGGCAGGGGAGTAGAGACATGAAACAAACTTAGCATCGAAAGAAACCGCGACGCGGTGCGGGGGCGTAGCTACCTTGAGGCCCGACGCGAACTGCAGCGCCCGGTCGTCCTGGTCGAGCTCGACGAGGCTTCGCGCGTTGTACGGGGAGCCCGTGGCGGCCACCCAGCAGTTGAGCGAGTTGCGCGCCAGCAGCGAGAAGAAGAGCACGCCGTGCGGGTCCATGGCCTCGGCCGCGGCCTGCGACGGCCGCTCGCCCTCCGACAGGCGGAAGAGGCCGCGCGCGGCGTTGGCGCCGTCGGCGAACAGCGACGCGTTGCGCAGCACCCCGGTGCTCACCCACGATTCGCGCACCGACGCCAGCGAGTGGAAGTACAGGCGGCGCTCGCCGCCCTCCTGCGGCAGCGCCGGGCTCAGCGCCAGCCCCAGCACACCTGCAACCATCACGGGCCCGCGGGTTACACGTGAAACCCTTTTTTTAAATTAAGAGACAGAAAGACAGATGCAGACAGAGAGAGAGAGAGAGAGACAGACAGAGAGAGAGAGACAGACAGAGAGAGAGAGAGAGAGACAGACAGAGAGAGACATACAGACAGACAGAGAGAGAGAGACATACAGACAGACAGAGAGAGAGAGAGTCATACAGACAGACAGAGAGAGAGAGAGTCATACAGACAGACAGAGAGAGAGAGTCATACAGACAGACAGAGAGAGAGACATACAGACAGACAGAGAGAGAGACATACAGACAGACAGAGAGAGACATACATACAGACAGACAGAGAGAGACATACATACAGACAGACAGACAAACAGAGAGAGAGACACAGACAGACAGACAGACAAACAGAGAGAGAGAGACAGACAGACAGACAGACAAACAGAGAGAGACAGACAGACAGACAGACAAACAGAGAGAGACAGACAGACAGACAGACAGACAGACAAACAGAGAGAGAGAGAGAGACAGACAGATGCGTAAACGAGAGTATTTTTTTTTATTTTCATCACTTTCATAGTTACATCACTTTCATATGCATTGTATGACTTACAAATATTCTTATTACCTATCTAAAAACTAACTCCAGCTACAGGAAGGGGCAGGAAGCTTCAATCTGCGCCTACTATTCACAATTGTTGGAAAATGTGTTTAGGAAGGCATTTAAAGGGTAACGGTTTTTTATTGATGTTGGAGTATAGTCTGTTGAGGCGAGGTTGTAGTGGCTGATGTGTAGTATTTTGTGGTATTTGGTAGAATTGATATTTGAATAAATGTTATTGGGAGATGGGCTATGTGTTTGATGATGGACACGTGAAACTTATCCCAGGTCCCGATTTTGTACTGTACTTCCTTCAAAACAAATGAAGTATGCACAGAAATCTTCTTGTTCCGATTAAGAACTAATTTATACCTAAATTAAACAATTTTCTACCGATGCACAAAATCACAAAATACAACACTAAAGACTGGGTACGCTACCTTAACGTTAAGTTAGTATACCGACACAAGATAAACGCATGAAAAACCAAAACTTTATGTACCAGAATTTTGTTCTAATTAAGAACCTGGATGGTAGAGGGGGCTAGAGTGTCTGACGACTCAGCGCCTCGGTGGGGAGGGTCGCGGGTTCGAGTCCCGCCGTGGGCATGAGTGTACCTTATCTTTCATGTTTGTGAGTTTACTAACCACAGACCGAGGAGCCCGAATGTGTTTCTAGTGTAAAGGTGAATATGTAACCTCATAAAGGACATGGTGGGTACCCGGCGCCGTTTGTCGAAATCGGCACCCGTGAAGCTGGAAAAGCCCCAGGGATAAAAATAGACTTCTAATTCAAATAGATTCGCTGCAGGTTATTTCTCCTTCAGGTAGATTTTCTTTGAAATAAGAGCTCCCGTTGATCCGTTGCCCCAGACCTCTTGTTTTATCTACATGCGAGTGTAAGTAGGGTTGGAAGACAGGGAGGCGTTCACGTTCATAAAATATATTGAACAGCGTGAAGAATTGTTCGCGTAATTAGCTTGTGTAATCACGTGATTTGAATCGTGTACGATATAATTCAAGTGATCACGATACGGAACATATTCCCAACTTTGCAGTTTCCTATATTGCCTTGTTGCACCATCATGTTGATGGTCAGGCAGCACCAGTCTCACATATGCGAATTAAGAGGTATGGCACTATGATCATTTAGTCCTGATAGCAAGCTCGAAACAATTTCTATATCATAGTCTAAGAACCAATTTTGTACAAAGCGCTTGTAAGATTTAAAACGATTCCGGTCACGTGGTTTCCTCTAAGGTGCATCATAATGTTTTACGATAGCGCTGTACGAAAGTTCGTGTTGCCCGTCCTCTCCACTTTTCAAGGCATCAATGATAATCATCTGCGAAACCTAATCGTAAGTCTCCACATCGGCCGAAAGCCTCAACAGTCTCCACGTGGAGACGTCCCATCGAAGAGGAGGCGAGAGCAAAGAGGCAAAGGACCAAAGTGTCGAGGGACGGAGATGGGGCGGAAAAGCAGTAGGCGCTATAGTTTGTAATTTCGTATTGTATTGCAGCTCACCTCTGAACACTACAAAGCGAGAAAAGCCACATGGCAGTCACCTCATAGGAAGCATTGCACACTGCGGACGATGCAACGAACCGCACGTGGCAATTTGGTTGTGCAAGGAAAGAGACGTGAATGTTCAAATAAGGCTTAATGTTTATTTATTCACCTGCGCGCACTTAGTATTTGCATGAATCATGGTGAAAATGTTGGAATAAAATGGTTTTTTGAAAATCACGTAGGTTGCAATTGTGAAAGACGCGCCTGTTGTGTAGTTTCTTAATTGTAAGAAATTTCAAGTAAATGAATCTCGTTATACCCATACAGCAAATATAGGCCGCTTAAGTTTGTATAACTCTTCAACTGATGCTTTAAAATACTGATGAAATGTTGAAATAATACCTAAAGGACATTATCTGCGGTAAACTTTAGCCCTATAATCTAAGCGGAATACGCTACTCTACATTTCCCAAGGTGTCAAAATAACATGGACCTTTAGTCACCCAGATATATTTAGGATTACTATTTGAAATATATTATGTAATATACGTTAACAAACGTACTTATAAAATGGAAAATGATAACGAGATTAATGTTGTACAAATAGTGGTTACTTGGCAGTTAAACAAATGGTATAAACGAACCACTTTCTGAACCTAATAAGGGACAGACGTATCTGCGGTAAACATTAGCCTTATAATCTTAACGGAATAGGCTACTCTACATTGCCCAAGATGTCAAAATAACGATCTTTAATCACCCAGATATATTTAGGAGTATTATTTAAAATATATACTGTAATATCCGTTAATAAATATTTATAAAATTGAAAATTATATAAATTAATGTTGTTAAATAGTTGTCACTTGGAAGTTAAAAAATAGTATAAACGAACCACTTTCTGAACCTAATAACGGGCAGACTTCCCATTGACAATTGAAGCGAGAGGTTCCCGCCGGCCCCAGAGCCTTTCCTCGCAGCGTCCTTCACGTGGCGAATTTTTATTTGACGCTCTTTAGCCGCGGACAAACACTGGCTCGAATGCACCGACCGCGTGTTTACTACGGTTCCGGAATTTTCCCGCTCTGGCGCCCGCGACCTCGGCCTCGCCCTCGGCGCACCGCGCGTCTGCTTTGTTCGGCCGATGACGCTCGCGTTGCTCACTTGTTTGCCGCAGCTCGTTCCGCGGTACGTCCCAAAGAGGAAAGAAATGTCCGTGCAGTTAGCATACCTACTTATACAAAATTGAAAACGAGTATCCCAGAATTTTGTACCAATTAAGAACTAATTTATACCCAAATTTAAAAATTGTTTACCGATGAACAACATCAAAATATGCAACACTAAAGAGTAGGTACTAACCAAAGAAAAACGCATGAAAAATAAAAACTTAAATGTACCAGATTTTGTTCTAATTAAGAAGCGTAATTTAACTCAAATTTAAAATTTTTCTACCGATGCACAACATCAAAATATACAACACTAAAGAGTGGGCACGCTAACTTAACGTTAGGTTAACGTACACACTCTTTAGTGTTGAATATTTTGATGTTCGCATCGGTAGAAATTTTTTAAAATTAGGGATAAATTAATTATTAGTTAGAACAAAATTCTGGGATACTTTTTTTCAATTTTTGAATAAGTGGGTTTGCTAACTTTACGGACATCCCAAAGACGTTGGGATACAATGAAACTAGACTGACTGAGAGAGCGCTGTTGTTGCGGACTAATTTGAAGGCCGTCGTTGGTGCGAAAACGTGAGTACCTCATAGACTCCTTGCGTTTGTTATAGGAATCCGTTAATTGGTTCTAATAGTGACATTTTCTTTTCGGTGCGCGTATGAATGAAAATATGTGATATAACATGGTTAAGACTTGTTCGACATGCATTAAGTACATGATGAAATTCATTGTTCCAAATTCACGTTCACACAGTTTGACTCTTCAGAAGAAAATATTACGAAATGCACATCTGTATTGTTCCTTAATCAGTAATTAACTGTAAATGTTCAAGATATTTGTTGTGAAAACTTGCATATTTATATTGCTAAAGGAAAATGGCACCTGGCATAGAAAACATATTTAAGGATTACACAGCTTAAGTTTCAGTTTTTCATTTTATATATTTATTTCTGTTACCCTCTTCCCGAAACAACGATAACGATGAAATTGAGCGTAATTGCAGAGTCTGATTTCAAACCCGCGCGCAAATCATCGACTTCAATGACGGACACGCTCGGGCTCAGTACGGTTGACTTTGAAGAGGATCGGAAAAGTGGGAAGGAATTAATTTTTCGAAATTAGCGAGACAGAAAGATTATGTAATATAATTAATACTCAGGTTATGTATTTTTTAATGTAAATGCGAAGTAATGAATTTGAATAATATGTATAACATAACAAAGTATGTCTCCTTCCCTATCTTTTCAAATCTTCTTTCTTGTGAAGTTGTGTCTTAAGACAGTTAACGAAATTTGGTCTTTCGCCACCATTGCCATGCGTTTGCGCCATTTTCTGACGTCTACTGAACTTTTACCTCGAATTGACTTTGACTTGACGTCATGTTCTTTCCAAACACTCTGATACCTCTCGTAAATATCCTAGGCTGTGTTATACAATATTTTACATTTCATTTAGTTAATATTTGGGCAAAACGAATGAATCTGCAAGTCAAATTTATAGCGTATTTATTCAAAGTGTGTAGAAGGCAAATTATGACTTTCCTATTGGTACCATCTTAAATACAATTCTGGTTTCTTTGCGTCTGCTCGATCAAGATCCAATTCCGTATTATTTTACACATCATTCAAGTTTTGTTCTGTACTTATTTCGATTTTTTTCATATTATCTTTTTCTTCTTTAGAAAACATTTCTGGTGTTTCA